GCAAAAGGCCACAGCATTCAGGGAATAATGTCTCTATGAAAGTGAACATAGTGTGCAGCAGTGCTTAGGTAGTTGATACATGTCAAAGTGACATCAACAAAAGGCGCAGGACTTCTAAGCTAAACATTTCCAAAGGCATCACCACTGCTTGCCCTTAATCCCTTTTTGTACATTCTGAGCCTTGTGCTCTCTTAAGGTAAGCAGGTATCATTTATCAGTGAAACTTGGAATATGGTAAGAAAACCAGGCCTCCTTCCATTGCTCTGTGATCCAGTTCTGCTGCTCACTTGCCCTCAGATGTTGCCTTCAGTTGGGGACATTTATCAGCTATGCCTCTGACAGCTTTGCAGCCCCCTCATACACACACATAACAAACTCTGGTAACTTTTGTCTTCTGAGATCGCTTGTATCATATCTAGCATCAGCTTGTTCAACAAAGATGGAAATGGTTTGTTTGCCGTTTGATTAAAACCACACAGAGAAGCCTTCATTCCCCAGGAGGCTGGATGAGCTATGGACCTTGTCCAGAGTTGGTCCTCTTTGGACCTCATTTAAAAACTAGTGACCAAAAAGTACTGTTTTTTTTGTAATTAGCCCCATGTCATACTTGCTCAATTTTTTTTCTGGACGCAAAAAAACTCTTATTTGACAGAATGTTCACTTGTTGCTACATGATATCAGGACAACAAATAAAATGCAAAAAAGTTGGTAACAATCACAATACATCCATCCATCCATTTTCACTCACGGTTATCCCAAGCAGGGTCACGAGGGGTGCTGGTGCCTATATCTAGCTGTCAATGGGGGAGAGGTGGGGCCGCAGGGCAACACTGAGACAAACATTCACACACACACCTAAGGAGAATTTAGAGAAGTCAGTTAACCTAAGAGTCATGTTTTTAGACTAGGTGAAGAAGCCGGAGTACCTAGAGAGAACCAACACATGCTCAAGGAGAACATGCAAACTCCATGCAGAAAGATCCCCGGCCAGGAATTGAACCTGGAACCTACTTGCTGCAAGGCAGCAGTGCTACCCACTGACTGGTTAAAAGTGTTCTATCTAATTAAAACCAGCTTATTGCATCGACTCGAAGGCAATACCTCACACCAAGCGTGCTTTTAGCGACCCTGAGAAGGAAAGCTCCCTTTTAACTAGGGTTGTCAAAAGTATCGATACTCAAAAAAAAGTATCGATACTGAAATGTTGTATCCGGATACAATACTCATTTTCAAAAGTATCGAGTACCAGTTGCACCTAAACAGTCATTCATCTAAAGTGCAGAACAGAGGAAAATGCACTTTCTGAACACTGTGATTGAATAATTCTGTGCACTTTTCA